CTCCTGCTGATGATGCTTGGGCCATAGCACTTCTTGAACAGTTATATAATCCTCTTTCAAGCATTACTTATATGAAAGGTTACAGGGGAATGAGGGCTTCAGGCACCTCACTGGCATTGGGCCTGTTTATGGTCCTTTCTCCTCATGCAGTGAAGAACACTGTGTATTTCAGTTATACCACGGTTTTCCCATGGATTAAACTGGCTGATTTAATTCACCAAATGAACAGTTTATTTACCAAATGATTGTATTTTTTGCCATATTTTATTTATACTTCCCAGCAGAAAACCTATGGGCACTCTGTGGTTGTCCACTTGCATAAGGGACAGAAGAACAACGAGTGGGGGTGGGGGAGAAACACTTCTTTTGTAGATGGGGTGAGAGTCTCTCACCCTCAGTTTTGCTGCACAGTGGAGCATCTGGGGAAGCTTAGAGGTACAGTCTGTGTCTGAGAATGTCTTCTCTGCAATCTCCTCCTTAGGAGCAATTAAAGACAACTGCTCTGGTTGATCCAAAACTTCTTTATTTCTGATTCATGCAAAATACTCTTAACATCCACAAGCAAATTTAACTGCTCTTCCTCACTCAGTTTTGGTCTTCAACTGTAAATAACTTTTCAGTAGGGGTTCCAAACAGTCCAGCCTCCCAAACAGGGCACGTATCTCCTGTCTCTAGTTCCGATGATATTGACAACAGGGTCATCAGGCCTCAGGCAAAGGGGTTGGTTCCCAGCATCCTGGTTCCCGGTTCCACGAATTCCCAATGTCTTGGGTCTCTAAGTGTGCCATTCCCAGTCGTGTCTGCCATCTCCCTTCCCCTCTCCTCTCACTCCTGGGCATCCACCCCCCCCACCAGTATGAGGGTTTCGCTGGCTTTCTCTCTCTCCTTTTCCTCTCTCTTGCCTCATGAGGAAGCATAAGTCTCTCCCACTGTTTGGCGCAGGTGTTCTTCATCCAGTACCTTTCCCATCCTGGGGGTAGTCCTCCTTTTTCCTTTCTCCATTCTGCCTCATCTACCTCTGCCAGCCCCCACCCTGACTGCTTTTCCTGGTAACTCTCTGCACTCTTCCCCCTCTCGATTCGTGCCTTTTCTCCAGACTCCTCCGCTTCCCTCGTCATCCTCTCTTCATTTTTCAGCAGCTTGTCTTCCCCTAGACTGAGGAACACTTCCCACCTTATATAGTTGTCCTGACCCATCCATCTTTACTTCTTCCTCCTGTCTGTCAGTCTTGGTCTCTTCTGTCTCTCACAGAGGGGTTGCATCCTTCTGCCTCATTGGAGGCTCCCCCTTTTGTACCTCTAAAGCTCTCTCCCCTCTCTCAATCGGGAAAGATGGCACTTGAACCAGTACGGTATCAGGCCAGCCAGTCTCCTCACACAGTCCTTGAAAAAGGGAATTGAGAATGTAATTACCAAATCAAATGTTTTGTCACGAAAATGGAAGAGTGACCACAAATCATGAAATATGGAGTCACTCTATAGTACCACTTCTGCTTTTGTCCAAACAAGCTCTTTGTTTACACCAATATGAAGAGACGGCTGTGTAGAAGCAGCTTTTTCTGCATATATTTCTTTTTGAAGATGACCATACCACAAACAGGCCCAGCACTAAACACAAGGGATGGGTTAAAAAAAAAACTCATGAAGGGCTTACATTTTTCAGACATAGACAGTTGGCAGTTAAATGCTTGGATTTGCCACAAGCTGAAGCTTTTGTCACTCTTCCTCACCCTTTGAGAAGATATTTTCTCATATTTATTTACTAAAGCAATATGCAAACAGAAACTCAGTTTAGTATTGTGTTTCTGTGAAATTTGCAACACTGTTTTTGAGTTTTAAAAAATGCATGTTTTTAGGAAAAAAATCCCAAAATGCAGTATATTTGGGGAAGTTGCATGTTAAAAATTATGTTAGAGTAAATGCATGCAAAAATGCCCTTTCAGTGCCTATGTTTAGGCTCTGGTACCCCCTTTCAGTGGAAGCCTGGCTCACATTTTATGTAGCAACTTGTAGAAGTTGTTGAAGACCTTCATTTGTGTTGTATGTTACAGCTAGATGTTTTGGATTATTAGATATTTATTTGCTGGTAGCCCCACACAGCAGGTATTACAGCTCCAGGACACTGAATTAAATAAATGAATAATACTTTTAATACAGATCATCTCTCGAGACTGAAGGATGCCTACATGGTCATGGTCAAACTGAAGTGGAAATGATGCCAGAAATAGGTATGAGAGACTAAGTCTCAGGAGACAGACTTAGTCTCTCATTCTGATTTCTGACACGATTGGATGTACCAGTTTCTTGTGTTTCTATGGAAATGAGGCAAAACAAACAGTAAAAATGGGGTGGGGGTGGGAAATTTAAACAGGTTTGTCTACCTCAGCTCATAGTAAAAGACCCAGGTTTTCTCTCTCTCTGAACTCTGGTGTTGCAAACAAGTTTTACTGGGAGAAAAGTGCCACCATGAGATTAGAAAAGAGGCTGTGAACAAGAGAAATGAGGAGCACAGGAAATATTTTTTCCCTTCTCTTTAAATGGTCCTTCAGCTATGTGCTTTTCTTGTTTGTTAAATTAGTAATAGTCTGTCTCTGAAAGTATCTCAAGATAGTAAAATGGCTACCCCACATGCATGCCCTGGGGAAAAGCAGCAATTTGCTTTTCTTTCCTTACTCTGATTCCTTCCTTGTTGTGTTTCTTTAGCTGTAAAAGTTTATGATACGTCACTCCAGGATAGAGGGACATGGTGGGGTACAGAGGTTTGGATTTAGTCTACTTTATTTATTCATACCCAGGAGTGCAAGGCAGTGATTAGGGTTTCCTTATGTACTAATTTTCTTTCTAGAACAACTGTGATGTAGGTTAGGCTGGTTTAGAGGCATCTAGTGAGCCTTGCAGCTGAGCATTGATCTGAATTGATCCCTTTGGTTCTAGTTGAAAACGTATGTTATATCACTCTTTGAAATCAGTATCTTGAAGACAGAACTGATTTTGGCCATGGATGAAAGGTGAGAATAAAGTTGGATAAAGCTATTTTATGATCTTAGACTTTCCTAAACTGGATTATTTTATTAAGGGATGCTGGAGAAAACAGTGTTGTAGGCAAACAGCATTTTAAAAATGGCACACATTTCTGTTTCCACACTGGCAGTGTAATGAATGAATCTACTTCTTAATGGTCAGTATCCTGTTGCATAGCTCTGCCCTTGCAGCAGGAGGGATAGTAGCAGCAGACTGCCATTAATTAAAGAGTTCATTATTTAATTTTGGGATGTGTGTGGCTTGTGTGCAGTGATACAAAGTCACAAGCATCCCAAAACTGAAGAAAAACAACTCTTTAATTAACAGCAGACTGCCACTGTCTGTAACATCACTGCCATTGGACAGGTGGAGCTACACAGCAGGATGCTGGCCGGTAGGTACTTGGGCCCTTTTGCCCAGAAATTGGGATGTTCCATTCCCCTGTTCCTCAATAATCTCTCAAGTTATTTTGACCTCTTATTTCCAGTTTTCCTACTGTAGTGCTAAAATGTAAGGGAGTATAAATTTAACAAACCTGGAGGCAAAGTGGATAATAGAAGCCAATCAGTAAAGATCATGTCCAGAACCCATTGCAATTAAGCATTCGTAAGCCGACTTTATATCACTGAGCTTAGGAGCACTTAAGTAAGTCTGTACTGGGTTGATTCCCCTCCCCCTTTTCTTTATCATATTCCACTGCCAAGCACATTCAAATAGAGTAGGAGTCTGTCACTTAAAACACAGTTTTGCAGCATCTTAAATACTAGTATGTCTTATTTTGGCACAAGTGTCTGGGAATTACAGTTGTCACTACTGTGCCATTCTAAAACTGGAAGTTCTGCTGGGGAAGATTTGCCTAGGCTTCAGAAAGAAAGCAAATGGAGAGTAAGATAAAAGCGAGCATGCAAAAAGCAACAGGAGAGGCACTAGGGGCCTTGTGAACCAAACTGTATATTTTTTCTTGAAGTGCAGTTTGTTAAACAAACTTATTAAAGTTTTAATTAAGTTTATTCTTAAAGTTTAAAATGTTTTAATCATTCAATGTATTTTAATCAGTATTACCATTTTTAAAGCTATAATTTATTCTATTTCCTTTTTTAATTCCATTGTTTTTAATACTGTGAGCTGCCTTGTGTCTCTTTATCTGGAGAAAGGTGGCCTATGAAGAAAGGAAGGAAGGAAGACTGATGGGGGGAGGGCAGTTATCCTTTTAACAGTCATGAAGAAATCAGTCCTCTGAAGCTGTTCATTGTGTGATGAAGAAAGCTGGTGTTTTAAACAGTGACTGATTTTTAAAGCAGAAAACGTTTTTCTAATGTGAGATGTTCTTTGGCCCGAAGAGCTATGTTTTTATAAGGGGAGGCCACCTTCAAGCAAACTAGCCTGTACGAAAGGCAGTTTGTACTCTGCTTTCAAATCATATGCAAATGTATCTAGATCCACTTGTGTCATGATTTGTATTCTTGGTATTCACCATCAAGTTGGCTTTTGCTAGTTGTGAGAAAGGGCAGGCCTAAAGACCTCAAAACAGGAGATCCTGTTCTGTCTGGCCTCTTCCCTGGCCATAGGAGTCTCACTAAGTCCTGCACATACAGTTCTGATCAGATTTGCAATTATGATGGTTTCAACAATTTTGTTGTAAAAAAATGCAGAGGTCTCAAGTACAAGTACCAAATTATCTGCTTTTTCTGACCTTGTGTAGAATTGCAGAACATCCAGAAGCCCTGCCTAGAACTGAAACTTCCAGCATACTTTTGCAGGATTTTTCTCAGCACTGAAAAGCACTGAACATGTATTTTAAATATAAATAAAATCTGGATTCTTGGCAGAGTTAGCCAAACTCTGTCTTCTGCAGCTTGCCTGTATCACCATCTTGGGCTATTGGTTTTTCTTTTTCTTTTTTTAAAAATTCCTGACGTTGTTTGAGCTGTGGTTAGAACATTTCTGCTCATGCCTCTGTATGTATCTATCTCTTTCCAGAACAAAGTCGCCGTGATGACTTGGAGAGCTTGGGTTATGTGCTGATGTACTTCAATCTTGGCTCACTGCCTTGGCAAGGCCTGAAGGCAGCTACAAAGCGCCAGAAGTATGAACGCATTAGTGAGAAGAAGATGTCAACGCCCATTGAGGTGCTCTGCAAAGGCTACCCTTGTAAGATTTCTCTCTGTGTACATCTTGCATATGCATGTGTTTGACTTTTCGTTTACACTCAGTGATTATGTGCACAAACATATTGGGTTTATAGTCATTGTCACAAGTTCTATGTGACAATTAGTGAACTAGGAGCCGGGAAAATATTATTTGCTCTGAATGCAAAATTCCAGATCAACAGTTGGAATATTTCAACAAATTCTGCTCCTACTAGTCATCTCTAAACAGTAGTGAAGGGGGCTATCACAAAATGAGGATAACTCTTATGGGGTCATGCTTACCAAAATTATCTCTCCCAGTTTTAAACTTCTCTGTCCTCTCTTTCTCCTTATGTGTGCCCCTACACATTGCAGACGTGTATACCATACTAGTGCCTTCTGTTCAGCCCACCAAACAATGACCACTCCACTTCCATTCACACTGCTGCCCTCGGACTTAAAAGGCATTGTCCCTTTGTTTTCTCATCCATCTTTTACACTGGACAATTGTTCAGAGACATTCTGGGGAAATAAGGTGGATGGCTTGAAGTTAGTACTTTATTTTGCAGTATGCCCAGCCGCTGAGTATAAAGGGATGGGGCAAGGGTAGCTATGGGGTTTTGTGAGTGACACATTAGGGAAGGTAGCCATACTGTGAATAATAAAAATTTACTTCACTGATTGTATGTGGATGCAAAGCATTCCTGCTGACAGCATAACTTTGTCTCGAAACATGAGTATTCGAGGCAAGTACTTACCTACATACAAATAATTAAAGCAAAGCAGACAACCTTTTGGGTGAGAAAGGAAGGGCTGTATCACTGAAGACTGCTGATCTCAGTGAAAATGGGGCAAGAGGCATTGTTTTAAGAAGGATTGCATGCCAACCTCCCTGTAGGTTATTGCTTTGGATTTGGAACGACAGAGTGGATAGTGGGATTTATACTTGGAGTAGATTTCTCATGGTGCATGAACTGGAGTACAAAAGAGGAGGATGGATGTGTTATTATTGCAAATGAGGCTAAAAGTCATAAGCAGAAATAAGTCTTTCCTTTACCCTTAAGAAACATCCATCTTGGTGCTAGAGAAAAAAAAAATTCAAAGTCAGAATAGGTCAACTGAACTGGACATCATATTCCCCACCTGTCTGATCTCTGAAGGTGGGGAGACCACAGGAGGTTGCCAAAAAGGATGTTGGTAGCCTGACCTGCCCATTTTGCATTCTACCCTCAACATGAGCTGCCAGTCCTGATATGAGAAATAATCAAAATGCAGAATGAGCAGGGGTGTACTTTGGTGACTTAGATAACCAGCTTCAGTGCTCAATATGAGCATCAATGGAACCACATCTACGTGGAGGGAAGTGTCTAATGGGGTCCCTCAAGGTTCTAGCTTGGGCCCAGTGTTCTCCAACATCTTCATAAATTACCTGGATGAGGGGATTGAAGGAGCACTCATCAAATTTGCTGTTAGCCGCCCAGAGTGGGATATAAATCAAATAAATAAATAAATAAATAAATAAATAAATTTGCTGATGACACAAAGTTGGGGAGAATTGCTAATACTTTGGAAGATGGACTTAGCATTCAGAAGGATCTAGACAGACTTGAACATTGGGGCCTATCCAATAAGATGTAGTTGAAGATTCTGCACTTAGGTAGGAGAAACCAGATGCACAGGTACAGGATAGGTGGCACCTGGTTTGACAGTAGTACCTGTGAGAGGGATTTAGGTGTCCTGGTGGACCTCCGCCTAAGCATGTGTTATACCTGCCAAGAAAGCCAACACAGTCCTGGGCTGCATCAATGGAGATAGCATCAAGATCATGAGAAGTGATCTATACTACGCTGATGAGGCCGCACTAGGAGTGCTGTATCCAGTTCTGGCCACCACAATACAAAAAAGACACCGAGGCACTGGAAGGGGTGCATAGAAGAGCAACAAAGATGATAAGGGGACAGAAAGCTAAATCCTATGAAGAACGACTAAAAGAGCTAGGTATGTTTAGCTTAACAAAAAGAAGACTGAGGGGAGACATGATAGCTGTCTTCCAGTATTTGAAGGGTTGCCACAAGGAAGAGGGCATTGATTTATTCTCCATTGCGCCTGAGGGTAGGACAAGAACCAATGGGTGGAAACTCGTTAAATGGAGATCCAACCTGAAAATAAGGAGGAATTTCCTAACGGTGAGAACTGTTAAGTAATGGAACAGCTTGCCTCCCAATGTTGTGGGTGCCCCATCGCTGGAAGTTTTCAATAAAAGATTGGACAGCCATCTGTCCGGGATGGTATGAGGTCTCCTGCCTTGGGCAGGAGGTTGGACTAGAAGACCTCCAAGATCCCTTCTAACCCTATGACAATTCTGTGTGCTCACACACACATAGTGTGCTGTTGTGACATAATGCCATTAGACTCTATACCATAAACTCATATTTCCCTCCAGATAATACTTAATCTTTTTTCTTTCTTTCTTTTTTTTTGTTTTCTCCTTTCCTAATTTTTTTTTAATATTGCCATCTTGAAAAATATGTTTAGCGTTTATTGTTGGCTGTTTATTGCGATGGTTTATAATATATTGGTTTGTTATATGTATTTTTAATCGTGTTTTATATGCTTGGAAGCCGCTTAGAGTGCTCGTTCTGAGCAGATAGGCAGGGTATAAATTAAATAAATAAATAAATAAATACATACATACATACATACATACATACATAAATAAATAAATAAATAAAATATTTAGACAAAGGAGAGAATAGCAGAGCTTTTCAGTCTAATGGGATAGAATTGCTATCATGGATAAATCCTGTTCCTGCTCTTCCTCTAGCTGAATTCTCTACATACCTCAACTTCTGCCGTTCATTGCGGTTTGATGACAAACCAGACTACTCTTATCTGAGACAGCTGTTCCGCAACCTCTTCCACCGCCAGGGTTTCTCCTATGATTACGTGTTTGACTGGAACATGCTCAAGTTTGTGAGTAACTCTACTTTTACTTTTTTTTTTGTGCATCCACTTATGCGCCATAGCAAGAAAGGGATAATATAAAAGAGGGATGGCCATGGTTGCAGTCTGTTTTAAGACTGGCCTGAGTACTGCCTGAGTAACTCCAACATTATTTACGGTTATATAAAAAGGCTTGAAAACAAGTACCTGAAGTCTCGGATTTAAGGTTAAGATTTCCATGTTCCCCGACAGAATCTCTGAACTACACACAAGGTTTGTTTTGCACCTGTACAGAGCTTCCTGGCAACATCTAGAGTTAAGTAGCATCTTACATTGGGACCTTAACCTTTGTTTGTTCAGCCTGGTTCTTTGTCAAGTTGTGGCTAGCAGCCTTGTGAGGTAATGTGCAAGTGTAACTTACTAGATATTAATAAGCAGTACTTTGAAATAATGCATTAATTTAATATGTTACCATTAAAATAGTTACTTTTGTGTTACAAGCCATCTGATCCATCTGGGCAATAACATTTTAAAAACAACACTTTTAATATTAATGTGTTAGTCTTGAGATACTAATTTCTTAAGAAAATAACTTCTTGGCGTTTTAAGGCCATGGAAGTAAGAAGCTCTCACTTGGATCTTTTGGGGTAAAATATAACCTACACCAGCGATGGCAAACCTATGACATGCAGAGCCCTTTCTGCTGACACGCGAGCCATAGTCCACCAGATCGCTACTCCCCCCCCCCGCAGCCGGAACCCAGGAGGTGGCTGCAGCCGGTGCTGGCGCTTCAGCAGGCAGATCTGGAGCAACTGGTGCTGGCAGGGGAGGGACCTTGAGACACCTCCGTGCTGGGATTCCCCCTTCCACTGCCACTTCCGGTTCCAAGTCCGCCACTTCCAGTTCTGGGTCCACACTTCCTGTTCTGGGTCTGCTGTAGAGGCGGCGGCACACCACCTGCTGTTTTTTTGGTTTTTGTTTTCCCAGTTTGGGCACGTGAGCCCAAAAAGGTTCACCACCGCTGGCCTACACTGTAGTCTGTCTTTAGGTCAGCTAAATTGGGGGGGGGGAGTGAAGTTGTATAGCAAATGAAATCCAATCATCCTAAGGATTAAATGTATATATGCACACTTCTTCTCCCAGTTACAATATGAAAGAACTGAAAGTGTTTTGCAAGACATATTGTGGAAGCCCTACTGAATGATTCAGCATCAGACATCTGTTTTGTGTATTTGTGTGTCTTTCATTCTCTTCAGCTGCTACTGCAAGAAATTGTGTGTATATGAATAAAATGATAAGCTCCTTTTGGCCTGCTAGTAAAGTCTCAATGGCTTTTGTGGCATTTCCTGTTTTAGGGGGCAGCCCGGAATCCCGAGGACATGGATCGGGAAAGGCGAGAACACGAGCGAGAGGAGCGGATGGGGCAGCTTCGGGGTTCAGCCACACGGGCACTGCCACCTGGGCCTCCTGCAGGAGCCACTGCTAATCGCCTCCGCAATGTTGCTGAACCCATGGCCTCCACACCCACCTCCCGCATCCAACAGTCTGGTGAGTAGACAAGGGTTATACCCAAACCTGTCGTCCAGGTAGCAGAGGGGGGACAGCCAGGCACGTGCCTCTTTGCTTCAGAGTTTCAGTCCCAACTAGGATAAAATTGGAAGCATTGCTTGTTATCCTGGTCTTTTGGTATTTATTAGTTACGTTTATCTCCCACCATCCCTCCAGTGAGCTTCGGTACATGATTTTCCTCCTTCTCCTTGAATTTCACAATTATTATATGAGGTAGGTAAGTCAGTCTAAGAAAGAGTGAGTGGCCAAAGCTACCCCAGTGATGGTTGTTGTGGGTTTTTCAGGCTCTTTGGCCATGTTCTGAAAGTTGTCCTTCCTGACGTTTCGCCAGACTCTGCGGCTGGCATCTTCAGAGGACTGGAGCTTTGTCCATGCCCAGTGAGTTTTGTGGTTTGGGTGAATTGAACTTGAATAAGGACTGGAGTAGGAACTTTGTCCATGCCCAGTGAGTTTTGTGGCTTGGGTGAATTGAACTTGAATCTGCCAAGTCTCAGGCTAGCACTCTAAGCATTACTTTGCACTGGCATAACCCATTCCTCCCTACTTCATGGTAATGGTACACTTGCTTTCTTTGTGCCTTTCCATTTGTTTGCTACAATGTTGAAAATTTAAATTGTAAGTTCATTAGGAATGATGTTTTTCCCTATTCTTTTTCTGCTAGTATGAATAGATTGGTAGATTGAAAAACTGAAACTTTACTCCTCCTCATCAGGAAACACATCCCCCAGGGCAATTTCACGAGTGGACAGGGAGCGGAAGGTCAGCATGAGGTTACACCGGGGAGCCCCTGCCAACATCTCCTCATCTGACCTCACAGGGCGGCAAGAGGTGTCACGGATTTCAGCATCACAGGTGGGCTTTTATTGGAGCCTTCTTGGGAACGAGGAGTGGATGAGCCTGTTAAGGGGCAGTGGGAGGAAACATTTTGGGGGATCAGTGTACATTCCTATAAATCTTCCTACCCTCTCTTGTCTCTACTCACTCTTCTGACTGTTTATTTTCCAGACAAGTGTGCCATTTGATCACCTGGGGAAATGAAGAGTGGATTTCACCGGACCAGTGTTTGCTTAGGTGAGCGTCTTGATACATCTTTATCATGACAGGATTCTATTGTGTCCGTGGGGGTTGTAGGTCTTGATGAATAGGCATACTTCCTCTCTGCATTGAATCCCAATATACTGTACACTATTCTATAGCAGGGTATGGCTCCTCCTCATGTTGTTGGACTGCAAAATTCCCTCATTCCTTACCATTGAGTAAGCCAGCTTGGGAATTGGGTCCAACAGGACCTGAAAGGGCTAAACTCCTGCTGTCTGATTATGAGAATAGGGAACAAGGTGTTTGAAGCGCATCTGATGATCAAAATTCATGGCAGAGGCACTCAGATGTGTTCTCTCCGTTGGCTGGAAACTGGCTTTATAATGTTCCATGCCTACCCAATATTACAAGGCAGTTTCCCTACATTAATGGGTATAACTGCTTTGGTTAATGTGCCATGATGTAGCGAACCATACAGTTTATTACTATGGAATAATGCAATCTAAGGCATATTTAGATTCCATCAGGGAATGGATTCACATTGCTGGTTTTATTTCTAGGAGCCTGTATTAAATGCACCTAGACACTGAAGGCGTCTAACCCTTCTTCCACCTTGAGATGCTTGAAAGGCAGTGTGCTTTCTTCCATAGTAGGGTGTGGTCACCTCTTGTGCTCTCAGCTGCAAATAATTGGCTAACAAACTCTGTTTAGTAGCTACCCCCCCAGTTATTATCAATATGCTTAAAGGAGTGACTGGACCTCCTCTCTCTTGTTGTTTTCTTTGTGTGGAGAGTGATGTGTCCAAACAGGAGAAGCTCTTGCTCACATGGAGAAAGCAACAAGTAAGAGGGGAGAAACTAGCTGCTCCCCTCTAAGTGTCTTTCTTAACAGCTGAACAACTGATTAGATCTTCAGATAGCATGCTGTATGCTTCTTTATTCAGCTACATGGTAATATGGAGTAGCTGTTCCTTGTCTCTCCAATGCAGCAGGGTTGGGAAACCCATGGCCTCCTGAGTGCTGTGGGACTTTGACTTCCATTGGCCCCACCAGCAAAGGTAACAGTGAGCATGATTGGAGTTGTATTCCAGCAATGTCTGGAGTGCCACATGGCCCCCATCCCTGGAGCAGAGAGCATGGGGGAAAGCCGGAAATTAAAGAAGAGTCCGCATGTGAACTTTTGCTGTTTAGCATGCTGGAGTATGGTGCTGCTGTTCTTTTAAAAGGTGTGCCTAAATGCATCATACTATACTTGGCTGGGATTGGACTTTGTCCACCTTCAGTGGCATGAGCACTGAACAATGCAGCATTGTTTCCCTTGACCTTTTTGAATGCCTTTTCAAAAAGCATTCTTCTTGGTGGAACTGGTAGAAAATTTCAAGATGTGGATGGCTTTAATGTTAGAATGGTCAGACAAGAGCATCTTGCAGAGCTCCCAAGATTACTCTGTTATGTGTAGCTTTTTAAAAGTTTGATTAATTTGATGTTCTAAACATTTTGCGGGCCATGGTTGCATTTCAAACTTTGAAAATTGCCGTAGACAGCATCATAAAATATCTGCTGTGCTGGCCTGGCTCATTGCAGGACTGGTTAGTTTGAAAAGGCAAATAATGTCCCAAAGAAACATAAAAAATTGGCCAAGGTACCGAGAGAGCAAGATGTATGTCTTTTGGGTGTGTGTGTATTTATTTATATACACACATACCGCTCTTAAAGAAGAAGAACATGGAGCAACACATCCAAAAAAAGCAAAGCAAAGGCAGTTGTATCAGTCTGTGGTGTAATCCTTTTTCATTGCTTTCTAAAGAGTGACATTTGTGCTTTTCTGTGTGCTCAGATACCTATTCTACATCACCCTCCTCCAAGTCTGCTCTCTTTTGTTCCTTCATGAAAGTCTCTTGGGATTACCTGCAGGAGAAGGAAAAGAGGCCAGGGCAATGGAAGGATAGTGCTTTGCTTTCCAGCTGCTGGTGCTCATAATAATATACAATAATCAGATCCAGTAAAATTAATTTACAAAGTTAAACAATAGGGACAAGACATCTTTCCGGGTGTTTGAGGTGCTGTTGGGCATCCTAGCAGTAGGTTATGATCCAGGGTCTACAGTATTGCTTTAAAGCCATAGAAATTGAATACACAATGCATCCTCTAAATCAGTGGTTTCCTACGTAGTATAACTTGGGTGTTCTTCAACTGCAGAAACTCCCAGAAACCTTGACCAGCGTGACAGGTGCTGAAGGCTTCTGGGAACTGCAGTCAAAGAACATCTGGGTTACCCAAGGTTGGGAATCACTGCTCTAGAGCAGTGGTTCTTAACCTTTGTTACTCGGATGTTTTTGAACTGCAACTCCCAGAAACCCCAGCCAGCACAGTTGGTGGTGAAGGCTTCTGGGAGCTGCAGTCCAAAACTCCTGAGTAACCCGAGGTTAAGAACCAGTGCTCTAGAGGATCTCTACATCTGTTTGATTTAATTTTTTAAAAAAATCAAATTCTCTTAAGTTCCTATGGGCAGACAGGAGACTATATGAAGGATGCCTCTTGAAATCACAGTTCTTTGTGCTTTAATCTAGCAGTTCTTGATGCACAGAGTTGTGATTTCTCGGGGAGGAAGGGTCTGCCACTACCTTGATCTCACTTTTCCAACATTTACAAGACAGGCACCTTTAACTGTTTTCTGGCTGCTTTCCAACTTGCAGAATAGTATCCCCCTTTTTTGTTGATATATTGGGAAACTGAGAGAAGACTACGAATCCCTTCTTCATAAATATTAATTCTAACACTAGGTAAATGGCACAACCCACAGAGATGTTTTCCTGTGCTTTGCCCAGGAATAACTGCAGTTGCATGAGAGCAGCTGTTAGTTGCACATGGGTACAATAAGTAGACTTTTGTCGTAATACTTCCTCTGTTATAGATGTCGGGAGGGGAAATTGTTTTAACAGTACTCTTTCTCTCCCTTTTTTTCTAGTGTCTTCACTGTATTTTTCTTTTAAAAAACAAAATTACAAAAAAATACAAATAAAAAAAGAAAAAACAACAAAAAAACCAACTTTTTTTTCTGCCAGCCACAAGGAGAGGACCTGCCCCGTGCTGGCGTTCATGTCTTTTCTGAGATCGCCGACTGCGTTCCCAAGCCCAATTGCCTTCAGCAAGTCACCGATGCAGGAGCCTTGCAGAAAAACACCTCTGCTGCTGCCGTGCAGCTTCGTCTCGACGTAGGCCTTGCCCCCCATCTCACGCCACCAGGCCACAGCCAGCCCACTCTGCTTTCCACCCGCCCTCGCCCCCCATTTTCTGATCTATTTGTATCATCTGAAACAAAACAATAATCACTTGCCTTTTTTGTTTTTGAAAGTTCAATATGTCTGAGATGGAATGGTTTCTGCCATCATTTGGGATGGCTTTGGGATTTTAAAAATATTTTATCATTATCATTATTATTTTGGGTGAGCAGGAGGAGGATGTTTACAGAAGACCTTAAAATTCCAGCACTGACTAAGTGGCTTAGCATTCATTTTCGAGGTGAACCACACTTCCAAGCTGGCACTGCATGGGGCTGTTGTGTTGTGTGGGGAAGGGAGAGGCCTACTATCTGTAGGCAGGTTTTCTTTCTCATCACTGCTCCTCTCCATGTGCATTCATGGGCAAGTTGGGAGATGCCACAGGCATACCAGTTAAGCAAATTAAGCATGCCAATAGTGACACCATGGCCATTGTGTGGAAAGCGTGGGCCTGTGGTTTAAGAGATGTGTGCCATGCGAGTCAGAAACAAATGTGAAGGGTTTGGAAATGTAACCTGCTTCTTGTGCAGGTGGTGGTGGGGTCTCTCTTGAAACAGACAACCCACCCACCCCCCGTTTGCGTGTGTTTAGGGTTTTTTTAAAAATTGTTTAAATTGTTTTGTTTTTACTTCCCCAGGAGATGGGAAGAGTGTTGAGGAAAAGGAAAGAGTATGTGAAATGGATGGTGAAGGCAGTGGGGGGAGGGGAGAGAGAGAAGCTGGTATTATTATAACAGTTGCTCTTTTTTTCCTCATCAGTTTTTAAAAGGCAACCCAGCCTCAGACGCACAACCTCCCCTCGCAGAAAGATTTCTTCCACTTTCTTTTCTTATCTGTTACTGTTTTTAAATTTTATGTTTTTCTCCAGAAAGCCAGTCCATCCTGGGTTTTCGCATTGCAGCAGCCATCACTCCGCTCTCCGGCCTCTTAACTTGGCACACTTTTTTGATGTTGGACAGTGTGGAGTCATTGAAAGTGGGTGGGGCTTGGTTTTTTGGTTCTCTTTGTTCTTTCTATTTAACACACAGATCTCTCGATCTCTCTCTCTCTTTTATTTTATTTTATTTTATTTTATTTTTTGTCTTTCCCCCTAATTTATTTACCCTGCTTACTGGCTCCCTCTCTCTCTCCCCCTCCCTCCTTTTTTTTTATTAAAGTAAAAAAACTTTTTATTACTTTGTAATTTTAAAAAACGGAAAAAAAACATTGAAGAACTTTGGGGGGAGGGGATTTTGTACTTTTTTCCTGTGTAAATATTGGACTTTTTTGAGCTTTATCGTGGTTGTTAATTTGAAGTAATAAAGTAGAAAATGATAAAGTGAGAGAAGCATCTGTCTTTTTATTTCTCCTGTCCTGCTTTCTCCCCCACCCCACCCCTGCCACCAGTGTGGTTGCAGTGATGTCATATAGGCAGGAAGTATAATCTTAGATATTGCCTCCCCCCCTCCCCCCGCTCTGTTTCCAAGTTCCAGGAAATAAGATTGCCTGGGTAGAGAATGTACACCACTTGTGTACCTAAAAATAACAGTGATTTGACCCTCAGATTTATAATTGATATTTAGTATGATAGCAGAAAAGCTATGTGAAATGCAGGAGCCTTGAAAACATGTGGCTTGCATTTGGGCATAAGAAATGAACAGCATGAGGCCCTTAGCACTCCTTTCTTTTAGAGAAGTGCTTCCCAACCTTGGGTCCCCAGATGTTCTTGGACTAAAACTCCCAGAAGTCTTCACCGCTCACTGTGCTGGCCAGGATTTCTGGGAGTTGTAGTTCAAGAACATCACAGGACCCAAGGTTAGGAACCCACTGTTTTAGAGTCATATTCAAACCAGCAAACTCGTGTACAACAAATAAATAGAAGTCATCCAAAACTCTTACACCTCTACTAATTTTAAATTCCATTAGAATTAAATTGCCTACTCCTTAAATAAACTTTGTCATTAAAATGTTAAAATTGTCATAAAAAATACTAACTTAATTTCAGATATGGAAGACACATGATTTTTAAATGAATGCTATTTAGGACACTTCAGTAGAAACTCAGTGCATATTTTAACTGCAGTTAGACAAACAATTGCAGATGAATTTGGTATCTGTCCCTTGTAAAGAACCTGAACCATATCAGTCTTCTGATGCATTCTCTGGTGTCTTCAACTTTTTATAGTCAGTTTTGCTTGATTCCATATAATTTGGACTTCAAGCAATATTGGCCTTTATTTTAAAATGATTTATATCAGCAAGAAGGGAAACATATACATATAGGAATATCTGTAGAGGTGTGTGCACTGACCACATTTTGTTTCTACCCAAGGTCAGAACACAGACGAAGACAGAGACAATTTAGAAGCCACTTGATCTGACTTGCAGAACTTCAAGTGAGATTCAGAAATATAAAGGTTCATGCTTCTCATTCGCTGTCCTTGGAAGTCAACAGACAGCTGTACTTTACAGAATTTTAGTAAATTTCTGGTGTAGTAACTTCTGCATGCAGAAAAGCTACAAAACTTCAGACAAATATGTGGCACTGAAGCTTACTAAATTTCAGACAGGGGGCAGTCTTTCCAGCATTGATATATCTAATTACCTTACCCCACTTGTTTGGTAGTCAACTTATATGAACATTGCAGACATTGTGAATTTGTTCCTTGATAAGAGTGATGATTGCTAAATTACAGAAAAATAGGTACAGGGCATTTGTGCTAGGTGCCAACAAGTTATTAGTGAATAGATTTATAGCTCTGTTTCTCAAGATAAAACTCTTCACAAAGATTAGAAGATAAAAAACACAGCCAAACCAAGATAGCAGTCATTACATAAATCATTGCAGTAGTAAAAAAAATAAAGTATGTAAAATAAGCTATTTATTAAGAGATAAATCCTTAGTTAAGAACATGATATGCTAAACGTTTACTGGGGGCAGGGAGGAAGAATCATAAAATTCTTGTTCAGGGTTGTGCAGGCAGTGTATATAATATGCAAATAGTTTGCCGACATAGAAAGTGGGAGGAGAAATTGTGAAGGAAAAGTGTAGAATGAGACAAATTCAACTAAAGAAACAGCACAATCCAATAATAGATGTTGGACACTACATTATGTAAATGTTTTGAAGGGGGGAATTGCTTGGGGGGAATTGACCCTCCTAATGAGAGGATTGTGAGGGGCAGGTTGTTTCTCCCCACCCCCAGCTTTTAAAAAATAAATCAGTGACAGGAAACCTTAGGAGGAGCTATGGCTGAGTGGTATAGCAGGTACGGTACTTTGTGTACAGAAAGTCCTACATCCCCTCACATCTGCAAGTAGTGCTAGGAAGTAATCCTGCCCCAGATCATTGAAAATGGCTGTCGGTCACTGGACTAGATGGGCAAAGGATGTGATTCCATAAGGCAGCCTCCCATATTCCTGTCCTGGTTTGCTTGAGCACAGACAATCTCAGAACTATGCACAAAATTTTGTGGGGTTTCATTTCTTTGTTTTCTTCGTCTTCTGTTCTTTTTATTGTGAAAGTTACATATTTTTCGCACCATAAGACGCACTTTTTTTCCACAAAACAGGGGGGTGGAGAGTCTGTGCGTCTTATGGAGTGAAGAAAATAGATTATATTTTCCTGTTTTCTTCTCCTAAAAAATTGGTGCGTCTTATGGAAAGGTGCGTCTTATGGAGCGAAAAATACGGTTTTGTGGGGTTTCATTTCTTTGTTTTCTTGGTCTTCTGTTCTTTTTATTGTGAAAGTTATGACGATAGAATCCCAAACCTGTTTCCAAGTACAGCCAGGGTCTTTGCCACCACAGAAATGTCTTACAATTGTTAGGGTGTAACTAATAACTCTTGGAGCCTAAGTAGAGTACTTGTGCAGAGTACAATAGTACTGGAGTGTGCATGTAAACAGAAAGTGTTATACAATATTAAAACTGAGAAAAAGTGAATGGAGATCTTCATGTTAACAAAAGAAAAATCAAAGACTTGATTGTTCCTGAGAATGAAGGAGAGAATTTGAAGGCAACAGCCAACATTCATTTACAGCTGGTTGATCTGGGTTCTGCTCAACATTTGGTAGACATGTCACAAGTGCAACACTGGCTCGTGGTAACAGCAGGAGAACTGATTGCTGCCTGCTCCCATCTCCCCAAAAAGACACTTTTGCAGCAGGTGTGCGCAGTGGAATCAACAGTCATACAGCGAGCCTTCTGCTCTGCTTTCAATGTGTCTTCACTCCCTTTTTCCCCCATATAACTTGGTAACACATCTACCATCTGCTTAATAGCCATTCTGATATGAAACTAGCTATGCATGACAGACCACCAGTGAAAGTTGTTGGCTTCTGTCCTTATCCCTGCCATAGCTTGGAAATTTTACTTATCTGGACAATCAAAATTGTTCCACATTCCTGCTGGGCTATTGACATCATTTGCCCTAGCAGGAAAAGCTTCTAGCACTGCGTTGGGTGACCCGCATCCATCATGCCTCAATTCTAGAGGTCCTTAGAAACAGGAAACGTCACATGAAATAGATAAATGTTTGCTCCAGTGTGTCATGATGGCTAGAGTGTGGCTAATACAGGTTTCCTGGTGACGGAGTAGGGATTAACCACTTCTTTTGCTCCACTGCCTGAACTGAAGGATTGCCTGGATTCAAGCAGTAATGGGCTTTACTGGTCATAATCAGCACTTTGGATTGTGCTCCGAAATAGATCCACAGCTGGATTGTTACTGATTTATCTGTGTTCATTGATATAGAACCTTGGTCTGTGAAGAAGGATGGAACCAAAGCATTAAAAATAAAATAAGTGACAAGTGCATGTACCTTTCTTCAGATATTATGGAAGAACTTCCAGAGCATATACATGCTGGCCAGCAGTGATAGCAATTTCTATGGAAGGCAATGTATCCTTGGTTGGAATGCCCATTAGAGATCAATTAGTCCGTCATTTATAATATATTTTTTATCTTTCTGTCCACAGAGCTCCCAAAGTAATTTACAATGGATTAAAATTATTAAAAACTAATTAGAAACATTATTTTAAAACTGTATTAAAACATTTTAAAGAAGCAGATCCCTTTAGTTGAAGGGTATCCTGTTCAAGGGATAGGGTTAGGTATATTTTCAATAGAGTCCTTTCCAAGTTTAATTATCTTGAACTG